ACGCGGCGGTAATCTTGCTCTGCTCGCAAAAGACTAGAGACGCAAGGTGTGGACAGTCTGCGCCGCTCTTGCGGAAGGAATTTGACCGACACCTGCGTCCGCTGGGACTGCATCGAGATCTGGATGACGAGCGACCCGGCGGCGTGGGAATCTATTTCATCAGCCACGTCGGAGGACACAAATACGCAGCTAACGTGATTGTGTACCGAAGACGCAACTTTGACTGGTACAAGGCCACAGAGGCTCAAGTGGCCGAGGCTGAGCCAGTGACTGCAAATGCCGCGGATGAGGGTGCTTCGCAGTGCATCTGGCTGGCGCGAGTACGGCCAGAGGACTGTGAGAATATCGTCCGGTATACCGTTCTGCAAGGCAAGATCGTGAAGCCGGGTACGCAGCTCCGGGGAGGCTTTGACCGGGAGAGAGGGTTGGTCAGCTGGTAGAGGCTTGCTAAATCTAAATATAGAACGATATACACCTCAGTTCGAAATGCATCCAATTTACAACTGACCTTTATCGCCTTTCTTTTCCTTCCCATGCGTTACCCATCGATCTCCCAACCTCACGTTACCCATCTTAGCTTGTCGGTAACTGAGAAACACACCTGTCACCCGGCATATTCAACCAATCGAGCTATCTCATGGGGTAGTTCGCCCAGAGCCGGCAGGTCGTCAGCCAGCCTCAAACCGGGTGTGCAGAAGGAAGGTCCAAAACTTGCGAAAGGTCTTCAATAGATCGACCAAACTGGAGAGCTGAAGCCATTACTCCGTAGGTCCCGTCATTGACCATTTCCACTCTAGGTATGCAGTGATTCCACGAGCTTCCACACCTCAGACCAACAAAACCCCTCTTATGCTGCCAGCGAAGAGAGATTATACCTTCTGACTTGCCCTTTTCAAGCAAATGATCAACACCGAGCATGATGGAGAGTCATGACGAGGTCGAGGACGGAATAGGTCTTCTTGGATTGGCGACGGTCCGCAATCACCCCCACCTCAGCCCCAACAATGCAGCCCCCAGCGCAAATTGTTCTTAAGAAAGTTCAAAGGAAAACGCAGCGGAAGGTGGACGGAGACACCGAAGACACTTGGGTTACAAATGAAAGCTGATGGTCGTGAGATCGAGATCTTTCGAGATACTCTTCTCCAGATCTTTCCCGAGATCTGATCTCCGATCTGCGATAAAATAGCCAGATCCTCGATCCACCGCTTCAGGTTCATCATTCATGGACGTCACGATTCAGATGTGCAACACGCTGAGCACGAGGGGTCATGGCCGGCCAGTGGCTACTTTTGTACGGCTGTGACCTATCCACAATCTCAGCTTCCAGCAGCAAGCCACCGTCGCAAAGTAAACCTTGGCCATACGGAATCTGGATAGTTGAGCCCAAGTCCCAAATTTGGGTCATATCCTGCCCGTCTATATATTCAGATGAGTGCCGCGGGGCTCCTGAGGTTGGTCTTTCCTCGACCTCACGCTTCTCACACTTGCCACGCAGCCAGACTCGGAATTGCTCTCCCAACATCACAGTCTAGGTATATATACCCGATCTGCTTGCACTTGAATGTTGAGACTAATGAACCCTTTGCACTAGACAGCCATCCAGGCTTCTGTACTATCAAGTCCACGCGCCATCCGAACAATATGCCCGCAATACAGATCACAACCAAAGCCGAATTCGACGCTCTGCTCGAGTCCCACCCATACGTGACCCTCGTGGCCACTACCTCAAAGAATGCCCTAAACAGACTCGTGGGCCCTACTTTCAACAAGAAAGCCGACGAGTATGCGTCCATCGCAGGCAAATACGCTCTGGCCCGTTTCAATATCGATGAGGTCCCTGGAATTGCTGAGGAACTGAATGCCGATATTAACCGGACACCGATACTGATCAACATTAGAGGCGGGGAGGTTCATGAATCATGGATGGTGCATGCACCTCAGATGGTTCAGCAGTTCGTTGACCGCTTTGCGGCGAAGGCTACTGAGGGGAACTAATGTGATACTTAACTGGATTGGGGGAGAGCTACAGGCTAAATACCCCCGGGATAGGGAAATGTATATAGCTAGCTTGGAATACAGCGCGGTGTCTAATAGAAGAGCATAAACTATAATACACGATTCTGAAGGCTAAGAACGAGTCCCGACGCCCACCTCATGACCATCCAGTCTAGTTGTCACCAGGCCAATGTCAGACGTCTTTAAGGGACGATACCGAGCACGGTTTATAGCTGTTGGACCGATTGGGGTGCCGGGGGCAAGCCATATGTGTGCCCGCAACCTGCACAACCACCCCGATCCCCACCATAATGGCAAGATGCAACACATGGACGTTCATAAATCCCCCATAGCATCTGAGCGCTCACGATGGTCCTCTTTCTTCTCCACTACCTCTACTTTGATCTACATTCCACAATTCACAACAAGCTAGGTACCAACCCACCGTTACATGATCCAACAATAACTAACGCTACTTGCTTTTACTCAGTACGCCTGGAAGGCTGCAACCCAGTGATTTATATTCTTGGGGTGAAGACTAGGGGGGCTTGAACTGAGGTGGCTTGGTTTCCTTGGGCTCATGGCCATTGCAATGGGCTACATGAGCTTGTCCCGAGACTTGTGGGCAGCAATGCTTTAGTCCCTGCTCTTTATAGGTACAATATCAAGTGCGCCTTCTGAATGCCTTGTTCCATCCCGTGCTACAACCGCTCACTACGTATAGGGGTACAGGTGTGCTGGATAGTTGTGGCATACAGTCCTCTACCGCCATCGACCATGAGACCACGCCTCTTGCCCTATAGAGCGAACGATAGACCGTGCAGCTAGTATGAGTCCTGAGAAGCGAACGGTGTCCTCAAGATGGTTTATGCAGAAGACCATATCCCGCTAGCCTCGTCAGTATCTTCGTCAAATTTCTCAGTTCAAGTCAAAGGGTGCATCGTCTCAGTTCGGGGGTCAGGCCCTGCGTTCTCCTGGGCTAATCCTAGCCCAGAGTCACAGACTGCTACTCGCCTTCATTGATGCTACAACGCAAGTCTTGTCATTACCCTAGACTAGTTGGCGAGTTATGTATGTTACACAGGCTCCCTACAGCCTGCCGTATATATCCATCCATCAAACCGACCAGTAAGCCAGTTCCCCGAAATTGATTGATAGCCTCCCAACGCCACCTTAACATCAAAGATTCGGGTCATGCAGTTGCTCAAGTAAAGCCCTGTCGCTTGAGTCTTTCAGCAACCTCTCAGCTAGATACAAGTCTGCCTGAGACCAAGCCTCTTATTTATTCAGGTTTATACTTCCCGCAAACGGGACGCGCGGGCTAGTGAATGCCTGATGTCTGCTTTAGAACATGTTTGATGAGCTAGCCATAATGGTTATGGTTAAGGCTATGGCTGCTGGTGACTAGTACTGATTCCGGATGACGTGGATTGAACTTCCATCATGCGCTGGAAACGAGCCTCTGTTCTGATACCGGAAAGATGTTGGTAGACAGGCAGGAAGGAAGCTACCAACTCGTGGCTTAGGTGTCTAAGAGTGTGATGTTCTCTGAGATGCCCTGCATATTCAAACAGTCACCATAGATGGGTATGAACTGAGGGCTGTCAGGAAAAGCCGTCATTGACTTGACTTGCCCCCTTCCATCACCGTGCAGGAGGACTCGGGAATGTTGCCCTATGCAGGGCATCCTAGCCCTAACTCGAGGGAGTCAGGCCAGCAACTAAACACAAATCGAACAGGGATGAATACGCATTGACCAGGAGACCCCTGCTCTGGTTACCATGATGGCAGCTGCAGTCCAGGAATCGGTCGCCGAGCTTGAGATGGGAGCCAGCGATGAGACTACCCAGATGCCTGATGTACTCCATAACGAAGGGCAATCTGACGATTGTGATGGACGGCCCCAAGAGACGGACTCAGCTTGGGGCCTTGGTAGTAAGTGCCAGTGAAGTATCATTTGGGTATAAGCGACGTCGTGATACTTACCTCGGGTAGGAGAAACAATCTCCATAGGCTCAAGGCAGACGCATATCTCAGTCGCGAGTCATATTGCTGAAGCCAAGCCCTATCTATCGACTCTATCCCCTGTCCTCGGAAAACGCGGTGTACGGAGTATAGGACGGAATATCGGAATCAAACCGTGCTGTAGGTCAGATCAACACCCAGCTCCCAAAAGTAGAAACCAGCCCGGTCTCCTGAATCAGTCGACGGACTCCGACTAACTCATCGTACCTGCGGAGCAGATCCAAGTTCCAACATTGTTTGGACCTTCCTCCGATCTTCCAAGCTGTGGAGCCAGGGCTAAGAAAGCCAAGGGCAAATGCCCCATCCGCTCCCCCAGGACAGACAGGAGTCTTTACCTTTCGCCGCGGAGAAGCGTCGCAGATTGACACGATATGCCATGCATGTGGTGTAGTTACGGCGTATGCAGGGTGACGACGGGGGCGCTCACCGTCAACTCTTCTTGGGCAAAAAATGCCCAGCGGGAGTACGTACACTTGCCAGAGTTGCCACTGCCTTTTCTGTAGCTAAGGCTGCGGCTGCGGGGAGGAAATGGAGACTCGGGAGTGAGAGGTTGTACTTCTGAGAGGGTTCACTAGATAGTAGAACGCCACAACAGTGCAACATAGTAGCTGCACTACTCCGCTGGCTGTGGCAGTACATGCCTGTTGTCGGACAGCGGCCGCAGTTTACTGACGGTTTACTCCGTACATAGATGATGTCGAGACAGTCGGATAAGTAGCAGAGGCGGAGGAGAGTGGAGGTTAGGACGGGCAAGGGATGGGGCACACATCATTCCAAATATCGGTTGAGATGTTGAAGGGACCGGCTATTTTCACTTTGCCGTGGCGGTGGTCCGGTGTGTCCAGTCGCATGGGTGGAGTAACCTTAAGGGAGAGTGAGGGAAAGCCTGCAAGGCAGTGGCGGGCCTGACAGCGGAAGCAGTACGGTAAGGCTTAAGCACAGGCCTGAATTGAGTTGTTTCAGGATGTGTGCACCAAAGCTTATAATAATGCATGGATGGCCCCACGCCTTCTCAACCGAGATACGCCGTCTAGTCTACACGATGTTAGTTCTCTGTATATACATCAAAGCCTCGGGCATCGAAGAGGATGATATCGAGGGAACTTACGCGGTATACAGAAATCGATAGTTTTACTAGCTCTATACCGTTGGCTTGGAACAAACGCAATTTACGAGATGGCCAGTCGTATTCACAGGAAGCCATAACCAACAGTCCATGGCTGTGGGGACTGGCGGCTGAGGCCCTATCGGACGACGTGAAGGCTGCGATAATGATATGGGGGCCCATCGAGATAGGAATCGATGTCCGATGCACTAATGAGTTTCTAGTATGGTTTT